ATAATTCAACTGACTGCCTGTATCGAGCCAGAAGTTAGCTTTTCAAATACACTGCTTCCGTATGAGTGAACGAATATGAAGTGATGGCTGAAGCATATATTCTGACATCCCGTAGAAAGAATAACCTTTGTAATAAAATCTTTCAAGATTTAAATAAATCTGCTAGGTGAAATTTGAAGTACATTATAATGAGTTTTGAACAAGGAGAAGTTAGGGTGGTATAATATGCTTATTTCCCAACACATTTATCACAGAAATTAACTACCAGTTTACAAGTGATAGGTGAGAACAGGGTCCGGATACCCGGGCGGCTTCCACTGACTATATGGGTGTTGTCCAGATTCCGCAACTGTCCAGAAAAGCAACATTGCCAAACAGGGGCTGATGATGGAAGACAGACGTATTGCGGAGTCTTGCAATACCAATGCTTATTATACAATATATAACAATATAGAGATATTTTACATCAAGAAGCGGTGCTAATATGTTGAATTGTCACAGTAGTAAAATATACAATAGTAAAATTTCCTAAACTCTACAGACATATTGCAGAGCAGTACAAGTGCACATTATGCAACTTATAACTATATACATTATACATTAATAATATATGCATACATACATTACATTAATACATAGATAACATATAAGGCGCATTCTATATATTAATGCATTATACATAATACATTATACATTAATAGTGCATTCGATATATTACTACATACAATAATAAAATTTCCTAAACTCTACAGGCATACCGCAGAGCAGTACCAGTGCGCATTATGCAACTTATAACTATATACATTACACATTAATAATACATGCATGCATGCATTACATTAATACATACATAACATAAAAGGTGCATTCGATATATTAACACATTATATATTAATACTGCACTCGATATATTAATACTACCAGTTTACACAAGCACTTTGGCGACGCCACGAAGACAGTGCTATATTTAATCCGGATTGGGAAAATAAAAAATCTGACTAAATGTTAGAATGCGCGCATGTTAGCGCTTCTCCTCAGCAACTGGCCTCATCAGAGGCCAAGTTTTAAAATCTCTAAATACTTGTAGTTTGATTCGAGTTTAGTTCCAGCTATGCCCACCAACGACCGAGTGTTGAACACTGGTAGCTCGATCCGGGATTTGAATCCCGGTGAGCGGGCTGGCTGCGTGGGTGTTTTCGTCTTTTGTCCATGTGTAACATGTATACGAGACAGTTTCTCCTAGAAAGTCCTCCACGAATAGACATTCCTCCCTTTAGGCAGATGGCCCTCGAGTGCTTTACCATAATCAAATAAACCAAACCAATTAAAGGCCGGAAAACTGACTGAACTGCATGGGGGCTTTGGCGGTTTTTCTCATATGTAGAAGGTATACGAGCAAGTTTCCCTTAAAATGTCTTCCGCGTGGACATTCCTCCACACAGACATTTAACTTTCGTGTGCTTTGCCGTAATCCTTCACCGGAGAAAGAAAACTTCAACAATTCATTGCTGATTAATAACAGAAGATTCAGCAAAAGAACATGGAATTAAAAGAATTAGTTGATGTATTGTTCAGTCAATAGTTGAATACCGAAAATATTCCTGTGAAAATGGGAAACTGTAATGGGAGAAGCACACAACAAACAATATTGTAGAAAGAGAGACTTACAAAGTAACAATTTAAGACCTTATCTGAAATTCAACAGCTTATTAAAACATTCAAAAGTACAGCAGCTGCCAAATCGATTGTGACGATTTGACGTTTTCGCGGAAAAGCAGAAAAAAGAATGTATTAAGATAGGCAACAAGATCAAAAGTATCTCAATTAGCTCAGGAACAACGAGCGATATAGAGTTTAAATGCTGCTGCATTCATTTCGAAATTATAATATAGCTAAGAATATACAATCAAAAACTGATATAATAAAGGATAGCTCTATGCTATTAAGAATAATCGCCGGATGATTAAAAATGTAATAAGTGAATATTTATTTTAACGACGAAGAGTAAATTCCATTGATAACTTTTAAACACACAAACATTTTGCTGCCACTCCGAAACCTGTACAAGGAATGAAGAGAAATTGCAGATGTTTGCATGTTTTAAGATATTTGTCATTCTTTACCCAAATACATGTTAACAATACATAACACGAATATATTGTTCAAATCTATGCTTATGTATTCTAGTTCTCTAACATTTTCGCCAAAATAATCAAAGCCTTTAAATTTATGGAAAGATATTCAAGGAGGGTGATTTTGTGCTGGTATGCCACTAAATTATACAAACTATGATTACCCGTCCATTAGTGAATATTTTTGTGTGCGGAAATATAGCGAGCGGTAATGCCACTAAGCCTTTGAAAAAATTGGAGGGGGCCTGCCGTAACAAATTTTGCGCTGAGCCTCGAGGTTTTCAAATTGGGCCCTGCGGTGCGCAGTGCAAAACTTTTTGTGCAGACTACTAGAGTTAAAATACCAGATTTACAAGAATACCAGCTGAAATACTAAATAATTAGTTATTCCAAACAAAATAAACCGTTACTAATGGCTTTTTATCCATCATTTGGTAATTACACTTTTGTACTATGTATTTAGTATATTGTTAAATTTGTTGATTTCCGTATGATGTTTGCTGATGTCTGCCTATTGTTAAATATGCAATGCCCCTACAGTTTCAGTGTTCTCTAATGTGGGATGATGTGTCTAAAAATTTCAGAGACAATTTTACACTTGAAACATTATCTTTATTTTCTAACATAGCTACATCAGTTACTGCATACTTGTAATATATACATATAGATATATATATGCACACATGAAAACAAATTATATGGAGTTGGCATGGATGCTGGCACTGATGTTGGAGCTGGTGGTAATTTTTTGTTTTTCATTTACAGGTAGTTCTGGATATTCATAGATCATTTTTATATAGATATAATTCATACAATAATGAATATTATAAAGCAGCGGAAACTCCACGAGGGGCGTACCCGCTGTTCAATAATTTCGAACAAACTTATCACACATTTACAATATCATACATAGTTGGCGACAGGTAAGAGAAACTATGAATTAAGTGTACTAACAGACTCAAAGTTTAATTTCTAAAATTAGAAGTACCTAAGTCCTATAGAAGGCCATCAAGAGAGAGGAACAAAAATAAATATATGAAATAATTAATAATTAAAATTAAAACTTAAAAACATGAACATATAAATAAAAGTACAACAAATTATTGTATGAATGAAAAATAGTTAAATAATAAAATAAAATACTGGTTCTCGTCTTATTTGGGGCTGTGACTGGAATTACAATTTAACTCAAAATCTGAGAAGTAGCTCAATTGGGCTCTGACTAAATTTAAACCCTCAATATGCAGTATAAACTGCTATTTCAAATGACGGCAGAAACAAAGACTTTTTTTTTTTTCCAGCAAACCATTCAAAAATGGAAAAAGGGTTAAAACATCACTAATGAGAATAGAGAGAATGCTAGAAAGAGTATGAGAGTATGAAAGGAAGTTTTAAGTTCAAGCTATATGGCGGAATTTGACAGGGAAAAACTCCCCCCTCCCGAATTCGAGGATTGATCTGTAAAGTGACAATTTTCGTTTTCCGCTTTTGGTTATATGGTTTCAAAAAGTCTGCAGATGCTCTGGAGAATAAGCCTTTGACATGTACGTAGGGCCTTTTTTTCCCCTTTTAAAGTCTCAACCTTCTTCAAAGAGATTGATTGCCAGAGAAAGACAGACCTACATTCAGAAATTAGAATCGGTTTTTAAGACCTTACATGCTATTAAAATAAAAGTTTGGGGATCAAAAGAATTTTCTGCTGAAATTATGGTTCAGTTTTGTAAAAGAGCTTTTTATTTAGGGCTCCGGTACGCTCCAGTTAAAACTGTGATTTAAAACAAAAGCTGAGAAATACTGGAGCAGAGCTCTGGCGCTATTTAAGTTTTGAACAGACTACTAAGAGAACAAAGGCAATAATTAGGAAAGAGGAATATATTACTGGCATTATATTATTTGGAATGATGAAATAATTTTATTTTTTGTCAGAGGTTCATAATATTGTCTTAATCATAGTAGTTTATAAAAGTTTCCGTTTGAACGCTAGTGCGTTAAAGATTTCGTTTCATCTTTACTGTTATATAAGTTCATGCATGGTCTGTATTATTTAAGAATCGTATGATAACTATTAATTTTATAATGTCGCCCTTCAGAAAGATTTACTTAAAGCACTTTACTGTTTTTAGACTAGAAAGGAGAAATAACCTAAATAAAAAGAACATTTTAAACTTTCTAATAGTGAAAAAAAAATTGTTAAAACCGTATTAAAATACAATATCTTATTAAAACATAATATTTAATAAGATGTAATGATATTATCCTGTTTCTTGGCAGGGAACGTAGTACTACTTCACAGTCCCCGATTATTAAAAACCTTTTTTAAAACTATTATTTTACTAAGAAATTTATTTTGTCTTTTCCTTCTTATTGACTCTGAGGAGTTAAAGCTAAGCAAATATAAGGATTTATTTGCATATTGCTTTTATCAAGTAACAGCTTAAACGTCACACAGTGACCGAAACTTTTTGGCTAAAATACTTTTACACTTACTGCTAAAATACGATGAACCCAAATCGCTTGCATTTTCACCGGTATTTCCAGGTTTGCTTTACTCCGACTTTGTTAATTTAGATAAAAGAATTCGAACTTTACAAATATTTTACATTTTATAAAGCTTACTTCTACATTTATATATTTCGCCGTTTTAGGAAAATGTAAATCTTTGAAGAATTACTTTTCTCATTTTGAAAAATTAGAATTGCAGTAAATCATTAAATGCTAAATAGCAGAAGTTATTGCAAGTTTGTCTTGAGAGATTTTAAGTTCAGCGCTAGTTCTTCGAATTCTCTTTGTCCTCCCCATCCGCCGAGTGGCATACTCCGTTTACGTCATACAATGACGTAATTTTTGATGTTGCCAGATGGCGCTACATGTCAAGCATGGCGGCGGATCGGCAACGAAAGTGAGTGGTTCGAGGGTGTTGGCTTCTGGTTACGCTCGCCAAAGAAATGCAGTGCACTCAGTGCTAAATTTCAAAGACAGCATGTAGTCGATAATTGTTCCGCTGATATGTCTTATCATTGTTGGTGAGTATTATCTCGCAAATTTTAATTTCTGCTTTCGCGTAGCCTCGTCCCAAGTTCAGTCGGTATCCAATCGAAAGAATGCTATATTTTAAATTGGTGGTTGTTTACACCGCGAGGTTAAATGCTCCGTTTAAAACATTTAAGTATGGATTGTATAAGCTCGTTTCAAATCAGCGTGTTTTTCAAGTTTCTGGCGTGATACTATTGACGAGGCAGATTATTAATATGACTATGCAAAATATTATGAAAATCATTTTTTAATTTCATGGTTGGAAAAACAAAAACAAATCCGTTTTTTAGCTATATTCCTTTCTGCATCAAAATTAAATTTGACAGCTAATAATGTCTCGTCGTTTAAAGCATGGTTGTTATCTTTATTAAACAAATGAAATGTGGATGAATTATAACGCAGTGGATAATAAACTTTCTTCCCTTCCCCAACAAATTAAAAAAAAAAAAAAATAATAATAATAATAAAAAAAAAAACTAACATAAATAATGTAGAATTTCGGAGTAATGTTTAATATTTGTACTGGGAGATATTTAGGAGTACTAGAATAGGATAATTTACCGTATGATTCAAGTGTAAAAAATATTATACCTGTTAATTTATTTTGTTTGTTAATTAATGATTGTTCAAGAAAACATTGCATATTTTAGTAGGTTTTAATAACCATTCAGTTACTTGAATTAGTTTGTGCATAATTATTAGGACTCTTTGGTAATTCGTGAAATTAAGCATTTCAGAATTTAAGATTTATTCATTATATTTCTGGTATGTTGTGATTTTGATACCAGTTTTCAGTGAAAAAAATTAGAATTGTTTGTTAAGAAGTGAATAAAAAATTTCTGCTTTTAAATAAAGATTTCTGCTATATGTCATCATACACTGTTAAAGATAACTTGAAATTTTTATCATAAATCTGAAATTTTTTAAATAGGCATCGAATTATATTATATTATTTTTATCAATTAAAGCTTTATGAATTCGTATACAAAATATAAACTGTGAAATTTGCTTCTTGTATTAACCCACTGAGGATTACGACTTGTCCTGAAATTTCAATGTTCTCGAAAATGTTGCAAATAAGCGATATTTTCTTTATTATAATTCCAAAATGACCCTCTATCTTTCTACCTTGACTCCTTGTCTTCAAAATATATATCCAACTTGAAATCAGATTGATCAGAATCTGGCAGAAATTTTTTTGTGTAAGGAATGGGAAAGCTATCTCTTTGGTATGGAATTTTACGTCCAATGCTCCTGGAGGGTTAAGTGAATATTTACAGTTTGTTTCAGATGCTGATTATTTATGAACTAGAAAACTACTTTATCTCTTACTTAAGACATTTTAATGTAAGATAGATATATATCATAAAAATTTTTTGTTTTTATGAAATATATCTAATATTAAAATCAACTAAACTATCAACCAGTCGACTAAACTATAATTTGTTTAAAAATTTTTTACTTCAAGGAGTAATAATGGTAAAGCATTTAGTGATAATCTGCATGAGAAAGGCAAAAATCAACTGCCATTGGATTATGATGTAAACCTAGGTATCTAGAAATAGTATTTTATTCTTGAAAGTTCCATAACTGATATGATTTTAGGCTGCTGTTGCATCCAGAAAGAATATTTGTAGTGGAAGATACAGTACGCAGACATACAGTAGGCACAATCTAATGTGATCAGGATTGTCTGTGGCCAATTCCATGGAATTCTATCATTCTTAATGTTAATTAATAACATTAAACAATTAGAAAGAGTGCTTTTCAAAATAGCTGTGGGATTAAATTAATTTAGTATAAATATAACCGGAAATATATAAGTATTTTTTGCAGCATTTTAACTTAGAAAAGGAAAAAATTTTTTATGAAATCTTCAGTGACTTGTAACATTTTGTAGATTATTTGGCTGATGCTGAACCCTTAATCTTTAGGTAAAAAAGTAATCTTAAAAGATATTTTCATGTATTTTGCCCCTCCTTCCAGGAGCTAGGAAAAGGGGAGAAACAATTCTGCAGAATTTTTTTCTCCTTAAGAAGAGGGACCTGTGTTTGACTACTCTTAAAATCAAAGAGTTATTCAAAATTTATGCCTGACTGAAGTTGCTTTTTTGGGGAAGGGGCTTCATTTTAAATGATCCATTAAAATCGAAACCAAGCTTAAAAATATTTATTCTATAAGATTTTTATCATATTAACAGAACTATTGATTGCAATAAGTGAAGCACTTTCCATGTTTTCATATAAAAATGGACTGGCAATTTGACAGCAATGTCTGAATGATAACATTAACTACAATCACATTAAATGCTGTCTACTGTATTTATCATAAAATGTTATATATCTTTATGTTGCTGTCTTTCATGTACCCCATATTTATAATACTAGGTTTAAGGCTAAGCTTCATATGAATTAACAGATATTTTAATATGAACCATAATTAAATATATGGATTAATTTTATAAAATATATTAAGTGGGCTGTATTTTGTGAATAGTATTTTTCTTTCTAAAATTTTATGAAGATACACCCTTGTAAATTTCTCTTTCTGTTATAAAACTTAACATTTTATTCAGTTTTTTGTTGTCTTAGAATTTCCTTTAATATAAAATTGCTAGTGAGTATATAAACAGCAACCTCCTTTGGCTCTTTAACTCTTTTGGCAACCCCTTTTCCAAAACAAGTGGCATTGAAAGGGACAGTATTTCTGAGAGCATAAATATATATCAGTACTAAGCATCACCTTTTCTAAAACTATGATCTCCACTGAAGATCAAAATCATCTGGAACCATGAGTGGCCATCTGAGAATGGGTTTACTTGATTTGCTGTAGCATTCTAATGTGCTGCATTGTGTACAAGAACTTAAAAAAATCATTTTTGGACAATGAGCAATTGTGTAAAATATTTCGTGCATATTGAATGATTCAGATTACATCTTGGCATAAATTTGATTTTTTAAGCTTTTATTTGACTAAGTTAATGAAAGATGGATAGTGGGGATATTTTTATATTTTTCCCTCATGTGTAACATTAATATGAGCCAGTTTCTTTTCAAATATGTTCTGTGAAACTATCCTTTCCATTTGCCAAATAGCTCATTTATGCTATGATTAACTAATCTAATGTATCTTAAAGAATAATATGTAATTAAATGGTAAAAAACTGAACGAAATTTTAATTTGTGATGATTGAAGGAGAAAAGGATATCCTAATGTTAATTTTAATTGCTTTTGCCAGTTCTTATACAGTATTTAAAAGTGCTAAGTAAGTAATAGAAAACTAAGATCACATTCACTTAACCTAGTATAAAGGGAAATTGTGTTGGGGGGTGAAGGGGATTGTGGAATAATAATGGAAGTTTTATATTTTGATCACTGTATGAGTTTATTTAATTGCTTTAATGCATCCATTTCCCTTTGCCTCTCTGCATATTGTAGTATTATTTCTTTCATGTTTTTATAACATATCAGTGTCTGAATGGATAAGATTGGTAATTTGAATCAGGTTTGACTTTGTGTAAATGAATCAGTTTACATAGGTTTTTATTTTATTATTCTTCGCATATGTTATGTAAATATCAGTCGATGCTTTAGAAAGCATTTTAAAACAGACAGCATTTAAATGAATTTTTGTAATACTTTCATATATAAGAAACAGCTAAAAAATTCATGATGTTCTCTATGCAAGATTTATCCCAATTTTGACTTTTTTTTTTTTTTTTCCAATGGCAGATTCTGAACAATTACAAATGTAACCCAGTCCATTAATCTATACAAGGCCAGATGTGGTGGTCTCTTTATTATGGAGGCACCTAATAGGTGGGCCACCATCGCCTCTCCCATGAAGGGACGGACAGTTACAACCGTGCCTTCTCCGGGATTCAAACCCAGGCTCTTCCGCATCGCAGTCAGCTTCCCTGACCACTATACCGACTGGGCGGGTCCCAGTTTTTACAAGATTCTTAAATTTTTGATGAGTTACTGCATACCTTTAATTAGGCAACTGCAACAGATACAGGTCCTGGGAGGAAAGAAACTATAAAATGACACATACTGTGCCATCTTAACATGTGGTTATTGCCTAAGGGCCTCATGAGTATAAAGACTTTTGTTTGCCTAAGGGTCTGATGAATATAAAAATCTTTGTTTTGACAAATTTATTGTCAAACTTATTGTTTCTTGCAAACTCTTACATACTCTTCATTTATTGTCAAACAATAAGTTTGACAAATTTATTGTTTCTTGAGTGAGTTGACATTCTTTAGGAACCTAGAACATAACAAAAAACCAGGGGTACATAATTCTGTTAAGACATTCTTTATCTTATATTACTGTCTCCCATCTTCCTATATTACTGTCTCTTCCTTGTGATCAAGGAGCCAAAAAATAAAAGCATTTCACACAAGCAAAATTAATTTTAATGATTTATTGATTTGAATTAGAAAATTTGAAGAGGTTCAAAAGGAAAAAAAGTCGTTTTTGAAGATAATAAGAAAGGAAAATGTATTGACATTTCAGAAATGTTATTCCCAGAACGTCAAGGAGGAACCATTCTTTTTATATGTGGATGGTTACAGATATGAAAGAGCATATTTTATTTCAGTAATCATCCACAAGGTGCACCTATCAAGATGCATATTTTCACCTTGGTATAGACATATAGGCTTATTCTTTTAGTTCTTAAACATATAATTTTTTTCAGCGATGTTTAAGTAATAAAACTAATTTTATTTTTCAGGTGTATGTATTAACAATCAATAAGTAGCTGGATGTGATGTGCTTCCTCATCGTTATAATTTCTTAATTTCAAATAGAAAAATTTCTACAAAATTTTAACGGACTAGTTTGAAGAATGTGCTAGCAGTTTCTTTTTTATCTATATTCTGTGTAGTTGTTGAATATGAAATTTGAACTAAATTGTTTTTATAAAAGTTAATGAAAAACATGTAGCATTTAATTCCTGATTGATGCATCAAAAGGGGAGGGAGATTACATATGCTTAACAAGTCACAGTCAAGCATATATATTTGCCTATGAATGGATCAGTACAAAGTGCGGTATGGTATATAAAGTTAAATTTGTGTTTGCATGAGACTATGCTTCTCAGCCTAGGAGCTGCGCATTTTCCATTAATATTTAATATGAAAAAATATGTTATAGTGAAAGTAAACGTTTAATGGATTCACATTTCTAAAAATAAGAAAATAAGTATATATCATTTAAAATTTACATAAATTATATTATCATGGAATAATTAGTTTTTTTAAATTAAAGTAATTTTTTATTTTGATATTACAATATTCCGATGTGTGTACTAACAAAATTAGTATTTTGATCAAATGTAATAACTTGCTATTATACTTTTTTTAAAAAAAATGCAGTAGATTTTTAAAATTTTAAATTCTGCTTCAAGTTGTTACAAAGTCAAATGTTTTATGCCAGAAAATCAAAACTTAAATAAATATTGCGAAAGTGAAGCTTTAAATATTGATGGTAGAGTTTTTTTTTTTTTTTTTCCTTCTTTTTTTTCAGTGGTTTAATGTGTGGAACTGAAGAAGAGAAAAATTCTGCTGTTAAAATCCATAACAATGCAATTAAATCTTTTCTTTTTTAGTTTTGCTGCTTTTTTTAGAAGAATGTCACAATTCCATTTTGCTACAGAATAATGTTTGAATTTTTCTTGTGGAACTCGAATTTCTCTTTAGTTCAGCAGATTCTTTACTTTTTACACCGAAAAGCAAAACAAAACAAAAAAGAAGAAAAGAGAGGGAAAAAAATTAAGAACGAGGGAGAAACAAAATGAAGAAAGTTTGAAAAATGCAAGCACTTGTATTTTTTTTAAGCAGTCGTGAACTATTTTCTTGTGTCTGGATGCAGAACCATTCATTAGGTGAATGGAAAAGAGTGGCTCTGAATCACCCCCCTTGAGGAAAAAAAAAAAAAAGAACTAAAGCAGAAGTGTGTTTTGAATGGAATCTCCCTTGTGCTCGTGATGCTGTCTAGATGGAAAAACAAAGCACTGTCAAGGTGAACAACCCAGCTTGACGCCCAAGAATAAGCGATATTCTTAGAGATTCCTTTGGAAACGCGACTTACATCCAAGGCTGTGAGCTTGCTTTGTTCGAACCCCTTGACCGCTGAACCATAAGGTAGGATCAACGTTATCTACTTCTGCCAGTACGTCACGCGACAGCTATCGGCTAATTATGTATTTCCAGAGCAACCGTGTGTGTATGTAATGGCTGAATATTTCCAGGATGTGTGTAATTCTATCATAGTATTGCTATCGTTACATACATTGTGAGTTTTTCCTGCAGTGCCCATTAATGGTAAGGTTGTTTGATGGATGGTGCTATAGATGAAATATTGAATCGTAAATTTGAATTTACGGTCGTATGCGGGTATGATTGTGCTTTTTTTTCGTGGTAACTGAGAATACAGAATTTAAGGTTTCGGGGATTATATGTATTCTGGGGACTGAAATTTGCACAAACTACCCACTGGAATGTGTATTTAATTTACTGTAAATAAAGATCAAAGGATTTGTATATAATTAATACAATTTTTATCTTTTTAAAGAGATATATGTCTGTATCAGTACGCAATTGCTTAGACAACAGAGCATGTTATGTATTCTTTAGTATATTTTTTGAAGTATCCCAAAAGAAGAATTTAAAACTGTAAATTTGTAATGATACGTAATTCAGAAGGATGAATGTTTATGCATTCAATGGAAGCGTTGTAAAAATATAGTTTTTCATCGCTACTGTTTAATGTCATAAGTGTGCTTATTAAGCATTCGTCTGGGAATAGATTCATCGGATGGAGATGTTACAATCGTCGGGGAAGAGCCAGTCTCATCGGAGCCCCATTGTCTTGGCATGGAGAATGTTGATCATGATAACCTTTAGGCAGTGGACCGATATTGTGCCCTTAAAGGGAAAGATAGTTACACAAACATCCATGCTTTTACAGTCTCGAGACCGAGAATGTACGTAGAAATTTATTCCACTAACCACAATGCCTTTCGAGCGGGTATGTAACGATACAATTCAGTCAATTTTCTTGTTTACTGTTCAAAATGTCAACTGGCTGCGTCGTACGTTGTCATATTGCGGAAACATGGTGCTAAAGACTGCGATTTTCGGGTTGGTGAAGTAGATTTTAATTCTGCTGCTGAATTAAAAATGTATTTTTTGATTTATTTACACTGAAGCAAATGCACTTAAGCATGCTAGGCTATTATATATATTATCTTAGAGAATGAAAGTCGTAAGTTCTCGCAGAAGTAAGTCAATAATTAGTAAGTCAATAATCATGTTTTACGGTTAATGAGGAATATAAAAATTTCTGCTGTGTGTACGCATTTCATCTCAAAGTCTGGGTTTTATGCAAGTTCAAACTGGGAGATGCTTTAGTCTCTAAGCTGCGTTTCTTTTTGTTTTTCAGTCCTAAAGTAATTGAAGTTAACCCTGATACCTTCACCCCTCATAAAGAGGTATGTACTTGCATAGTTTGTTTGTATGGCGGAAACAAGCCTGCCAATTTATTTTTCTATTGAATTTTTTTTTTTTTTTTTTTTTTTTGACGTCTTACTGAGTTGTCTGTCTAGTTGTCATCAATCGAAATTCTTTCTTTTCCATTTGATCTCGTCTTTTCTTGTCCTTCAGACATCGTTTCAAACAGAATTTAAATAATACTAGACCGGAACTTCGTTCTTGGTCATGTGCCAGCACCATTTCTTTCCTTGTTGTACCATTTCGAATTTCTTCCGCATCGCGTTGCCCAACTGAATTCGATTTTCGAAAAGTGACAACCTGTGGTGCTCTCTTGTGCGCGCGCGTTATCCTGTTTGGAGCACTTTGCTCCGTCGTTTTGCGTGATTCACCTTTTTACTGGTACTATGATGTAGCTAGTTTTATATATATCATTTATGATGTATTTTGTATAAGCATTTATAAGAAGTAATTTTAAAGTTCCTCGTCTAGAATTATTTGTTATGCAAATACTTTCTGCTTTAGGGAAAAAAAAAAAAAATTAAAATTTTTTATTTCTCAAATTTTGAATACGTATTTTTTGTTTTGATATTGCTTTCAAGCGAATTTTATTATTATTATTATTATTATTATTATTATTATTTTCTTTTAAGATTTCGAATTAGATTCTCAAAGCCAAATTCTAAAAAAAAATTGGAAATTGTCGATGTTTTCAAGAGAAAAATAAAGGAGGATGGGAATTTTGGTGCTTATGGGATATTATACAGTCGACCGGCAAAGTAGCGCGATTACGGATGATCGTGTCCTTTATATTTCCGCTGTAACGATTGGTGATTGGTGTTCGTTTCCGTCAACGGCGGACGGGATAATACGCAAGTGAAATTTGAAATCTGCATTTTTAAAATTCTTGAATGTTGTTCATTTGTTTGAATACTTCAAGATCTCAGCCGTGGCTGAAATAGGAAGGCTGGTAGACAAGTGGAATCATGTGCGTGATGCAGTGTTTATATGCTATGGCACGAATTGCTAAAAATACTCAAAACTATTAGTAATAGGTTATTTGTCCAGAACTTCCGAGGTTTCAGTTTTATTTGAGTTCGACAAAGCACTCGTAGAACTTTCGAGAAAGCATATTATTGTAAATTGATTATTTGTAAAATGTACTGATTTATTACATTACCTTAGATTTAAATATTGAAATGGTGTGCCACCCAGGGTCTCCAGTTGTTTCTCGGGTTCTCCGCCAACTTTTATGGTCGATGACAAAAATGTAGAAGTACCAATTGAAAATGTACAGATACTTTTCCGTATATACGTATCTAAGGTAAAATTCTAACTTTAATTTATAATATCCACTTAAGTGTCCTTTGTTTTGATTGTTTTTGTTTTAAAAATAGCAATATGCTTATGATAACGCTTTCTAAAATACTTGTATTTATCCAGAAATGCGTAAATGTAAAGTGCGTGATTTCAGATTTAGCCCTCGTCATATAGCGCGTGTACGTTGGCAGAGTGATTAACGGCAAAAGTAAAAGTGATATCTTTTGCTCGATCATAAATAAATCGAAACTTTTGACGACACAGTAGCAATAAAACAATGATTTGTCTCTCTGCTGAGAAATATAGTTACTTCACTTTACTTAATTTAATGTCCAACAGCATAAATTTCGCTTTTTGCTTTTCCTTCGAATGGCTAACATTTTGTCTGTCTCTTCTCTTCATCCTCTGTTTAGTCCTGTGAATTGGTGAACATAACGTTTATAATTATGAAATACTGGGTGCGCGTAGTACAGCAGTTTATGATGTATATTTCCAAAAAGATTACTTCGAAAATAAAGAAATGTATCAATCAGCCATGAGTGCAGGAGTGTAGCTAATCAGCTATCAATGTTGCTGTTAATTTCCAAATGGCTGAACATTTGCAACTTAATGCATTCGCCGTGAACGGCTAAACCCATCGCTTATTTAGCTGTATCATCACCGAGAACATTGCTCAGAGTGCAAACAAATTGCATTTGGTGAGAATAGGGAAGCTCATCCGAGTTTTGAAGCAGAATTCCTCCTGGGAGCTGATATAAGGGTACTTCTTCCTCCTTTTACTTCCGCTCAGAGGGGATAGTGATTGGTACGCTGATTGCTGTACCGAAGGACCCGGGTTCGAATCCCGGAGAAGCATGGATGTCTGTAAGCGTATGGTGTCTGTGCAGCAGCCGAAATTGTATGGAGAGATTCTTGGTTGAGGTAGAGGGGTGGAAGATACTCTGACCGCCTTGGATGCATTCTTTCTAGGAATTTCAAATTGGGACGGAAGCTTAACAAGTTAGCTAGGTACAGCAATACCTAAATCACCTACTACAGAGGTACTGGTCTAGCTTCTACTTATAATCCCTCTTTCATTACCACAGCCTCTCTAAAGAACTTTTGGTTCGGCAATGTTTTAAATGTCTTG